TATATATATATATATTATGGGTAAACTATCCCTTTAAGTTATTTTAAGACATGTTAGGACAAAATAATAACTTATTTTTATATAGTAAATATTTGATATATTTACTATCTATGAACTATTTTGGGAATTCTTATTCAAAAGCCATTATTTTTGTAATTGGTGACACTAGTGCAAAGATATCGATAAAATGTGGAAAAAGCTGCCCATTAGCATTTCCGTTCATACTGTAGTTGCTTGGCTGGAAGAAACACTGCCAGGAAGTACAAAGAACAGGCACTGGTAGAACATCTACTATAATATAATAAAAATGTTGCTTGTATGCAAATGTACACAAAAATGTGTTCATAATTTTTGGGTGTGTCAGATTGTTTTGAAAAGAGATTAATGAAATTGATCAAATTAAATGTATCAAATTAAATTGATCAAATAGTGACAGTAAAGGCTTTAATATTGCTACAAAAAAATCAAATAAATGCTGTTCTTTTGAACCTTCTGTGTATCCAACAATCCTCAAAAAAAAAAAAATCAGTAGCAATGTTTTCAGCAGTGATAATGATAAGAAATGTTACTTGAGCACCAAATCAACATATTAGAATGATTTCTGAAAGATCATGTCACACTGAAGACAATAATAATAGTTCACAATATTGTTTTTTTACTGATTTGTCTTCAAATAAATTTAGCCTTGGTAAGAATAAGAGACTTCTTTCAAAAACATTAAAATATATTACCAACCCCAGACTTTTAAAATATATTACCCACCCCAGACACACAACTCATTTTGAATGGCTGTCAAAAGTGGAAAATAATAATATTTTTTTTCCCCATTGAAAATGGTGTAGTTATGCTTTCTACCAAGAGGGGCTAACTGCTAAAACAAAAAAGTATGGCGCACACGTCCTGAAAAGTGAAGCTGATGTAACTTCAAGTGTTTGTTTTTCTACAACGTTTGGTTTTAGGAGGTTATTCAATGCTATAAAAATGGGGTGTGGTGTCATGATTGTGTGCTTGCAATTGGGTCTGCGGGAGTTTGGGTGGAACCTTAACACCATGGTTCCAGCTCATGATCACTACTGTGCCGACTCAGGCTCCAAATGTCATCAGCAGAATATGACAGCAGCCATTTCTGGGACATTTTCGTTTAATTTACAGTGAAAGGAAGTGGAGATGTGCATTAAAATGATGCTGTCATTTATGTATTGTCATTCTGTTACAAAGTTAACCTATATGTATGGCTTTCAACCATACAACACAAGATGTTAGCCAGAATGACAGCCTCAGTCACCATTCGTTTTCATTGCATCTTTTTTTTCCATTGAGCATCTTGTTTTGTGTTTCACAGAACAAAGTAAGTCATACATGTATGGGACCACATGACTATGAATAAATAAAGACACCATTTCTGGGTGAACCATGCCTTTTTGGGGGCAGTCGGGGCCTAATGGTTAGAGAGTCGGACATGAAACCCAAAGGTTGCGGGTTTGAGTCTCTGTACCAGCAGGGATTGTAAGGTGGGGGAGAGTGAATGAACAACACTCTCTTCCACCTTCAATAACCAAGACTGAGGTGAGACCCTTGAGCATGGGTTTCACTGAACCCCCAACTGCTCCCCAGGTGCCGCAGCAAATATGGCTGCCCACTGCTATGGGTGTGTGTTCACTACTCACTGCTGTGTGTGTGTGTGTGCACTTGGATGGGTTAAATGCAGAGCTCAAATTCCGAGTATTGGACACCATACTTGGCTACACGTCTATTTAAATGTGTTGTTCAATAAATGTAATTAGTGATGTAATATTGGCCCACAAGAGGGCAGCAGAACATAAACATATAGCTACAACTTATTCTATGTCGTTTTTTCTCATTTATGAAGCTCTTGCAACAATTACAGCCTCTTGATATGTTTGTTTTTCTGGTTTTACACTTCTGGCTTTACCTTTCTTACTTTAAGTAACAAGAATATTAAGTAAGAGTATAATAAACTTGTTAAAATATATCATTTTAATTAAGCAATTATATGTTTTGCTTTAATACAACCCAAAAAACATGTTAACCATAGTTTCCACCAAAATACTAGTTATTGTGTAATTCCTAATCTCATATTATTTAATATTGGGTCTTCTTCAACTGCTTTTTAAGCTTTTAAAGTCTTTCTGTCATTTTGTTTGCTTTCTGAATTTTGATTGAAGCAGCCAAGTTACCACAGTATGATTATAGTACTAGATACAGCAAGGAGAGAGAACATGAGTTTTAATATACGTTGTTTGCAGAGATCTAAATAGAGAGAACATGACATGGTAAACAGAGTGATGCTGTTGTGGACATCAATAATCTTCATTAACACTTACAGTAATCAGATTGACAGCATGGAAGGAGAAAGAGAGGGGGGGGGGAGCAAGGAGTAATAGTACTAACTGAGCTGGCTTCACTGCAGTATCCTGGCTACAGGACCATGCGGCACTGATAGGCTTGGATACTTAGCGAGAGACAGCAACCAAACCCTCCCTCCCCCTCTCTCTCTCTTCTCCTTTTTCACAATCTCTCGTGTCTCACTCTGCTGTCGTAGAGACTGCAGGCTGCACACACTCAGTGAGTCCTTCTCTCTCTGTCCTGTTGTCTCACTCAGCGTTTCAGGCACAGAAACGGACTCTTCTGCACTGTTCTCTGCATGACTGTCACAAAGGTAAGCATGTGCTGGAGCGTGTGAGGCTGGAAGGGGCTGCTGGGTTTGGGCTTCACTGCAGTGGGATGTTCTGCTGAATCTGTGACTGTAGTGTACCGCAGTGCCGGACAGGTGGAGTGTGTTTGTTAATGCAGGTGAATCTTATGCCTGCTGGATTTGCTGTGTGGTACAAACTTCTATGTGCGTTTGTCCAGTTGGCTCCCTGTGAGTGTTTAATGTGTGAGTGCCTGTCCCGCAGTAGGGCAGTGGGTCTTGGCTGGGTGAGGCATGTTTATGTGTGTGGTGTGTGTGTGTGTGTGTGTGTGTGGCTTTAGCAGACTGATTACGATGTGGAGCTCTTAATCCAGTGCTGTCCTGCATAAAGCCTGAGCTGTGCTTTTTTTTTCGAGGAGAGACTGAGACATCATATACTACAGTATGCGTGACAGTTATAAAAAGCAAAAAGAGGAAAGGAACAAGATGAGGAGGGGCAGGTCAAGGGATATAGGGAGAATTCAGGTCAACTGGGCCACTTTTTGACATTGAGATTATGATGATGGTCAAAAAGTAGCCAAATTTAGCTGAATTCATTTTATAAGGATGAATGTTGATCAGGCTAATTATGTCTATATTGTGCTTGTTTGTATGTTTATAAAAGTGTCTGTTTAAGTTTGATTTATGCCATTGGACTCCCATAGGTGTCATGAGCTGCTGGCTAATTTAACTTAATTCATAAAAGTTGGACAAAAATAACTATAAAATTATCTTAAATGCAGTACACAATCAAACAGATTTGTAAAGTCTGTAAAGCTAAAAACATACCTGGTCTAAGCCTGATATTGTAAAGATGAACACAAAAAGACGCTGTTTATAAGTCACATATACATACATACATATATATATATATACACGTTTATGCATTATATATATCTGTTTTGTATGTAAAATATATAAAATCTATAATATGAAACAATATAAGACTCACAACTCAACAGGACAAGTGATTTTGAAAATGGATAAATATTGTATTATATATTATATTATATTATTATTTAGAGTTGCAGTTCTTCATTTATGTGATGCATATCTCACTTAAATCTCAGTCAATGCCAGTGTTCATGCAGTGATGTGTGTTGCAGTTATTCCTGGCAGAACTACCGGCTTGACGCAGGTGCTAACTGTGTAAGAACTGATGTGAGTGTGTGTTTTGCTCTGATGGAGAAGGTTGAGATGTTGAGTGGGGGTTCGAGAGATGGGTACTGTCCAGAGCTGAATGACCTTGGAGTGTTTGTGTATGTGTGCTGACTGAGCAGAACAGCACTCTGTGTCAGACAGTGAGAGACAGAGAGCGATTCCACTCAAGAGTGTGTCTGCATATGTGAGAGTGAGTGCACATATAGACTAGTGTTTAACCACACAGCTGTGTGGCAGGATATCCTCACAGACTCTTGGGACTGAAACTGTCACACCCAGACAGTCCCATGAACAGGACAGGATGCATCTCTCACTGCAGGGCTATAAAACAGCTGGCTGCACATCACTTCCTGTCACACACAGCGCAATGCGATGGTTAATAAATCACTGTGGATGTTAATTTCATACAGGTTATGAACTAAAGGCAAAAAAGGCAAAATATTTTATTCAGTGGTGGGGGGAAAAAAAGTGTACAAAAAGTGCCTCTCACACAATCTAAGAAAAGTCCCCATATAACGTGTGTTAGAGCTAACTAGCACTAATATATAGCACATATAACTGGCACAGACTGGATAATAATTCATTATTATTTTAGTGAAATATTTACCAAAAAAAAGGACATTTGGCTAGCTATGCTAGTGCATAATTGGACCTTGAAAAATACCTTTAGAAATTATAAGATCTTTAAAAATTACATCAAAAGAGTCAACCACCTCAAAGTCACTCCCTAATTCCCACACTGACTTAAAGGTATGAAATCTACAGAAACATTGTAATCGATTACATAATAAGAGGCAAAGAAAGCAGGAGGAGGGGTTAGAGATCATTCGGTCTCCATAGAGTCGAAGGTCAACACATGTACCCTCATGCCTTTATTTAAAACGCAGCATATTTTTCACCCTGGGACAGAATTTAGTCTGATAGAAATGCCAACAGGCATCAGATTCTCCAGTGAATGTGGAGAACGGTTAAATTTCCCCCAATATCAATACACAGAGCCAGAAGGCGCATGTTCAATATCACTGAATGTGCTGTAAGTGTATTCATTGGGGGATTGTGAGAAGGGCCCTCATCTATGGTGTGTGTGGGTGGGTTTGCACATGTCTGCATGTCAGTAGGTCGAGAGGCATGTAGGAAGCTTACAGGTGTGTTTACAAAGCTAAGAGACAATTTTACATATAAAATGCACAGAATGTTTGAGCGACTGAGAAGACACTGCGTGGGTAGGAGGACTGTTAACTCACAGGTACACATTATTATAACTACACTCCATATGCACAACTGACCTCATGCAGATGGTGGGCATTTTTTTTGGCAGAAATTTGAATATAAGTTTATGCTATGTGTTACATACACTCAAAAAAATCACAAAGGTATGTTGGTAGGGATCATAGACTGTATAAAAACATGGACGTAGTGTCCGTGACGTAACCCGTAGATTTCCGAAGAGCGTTTTTTGAAGCTCAAAGTGGGCGGAGCGGGCCGTCGCCATCTTGGCAGCACGTCACCGTGCATCACTCCCGGATAATCGAAAATGGGCAAAGAGACGGGAGCAGGTTGCTGAAACCACGCCCATCTAGCTTGACGGCGGTGACAGCAGCGGCAATCCACCTGTCACTCAAGTGGCCACGCCATTAATTATGCAGAATTTTAAGGCTTAATATAATTTAAACGGATGAGTTATAACGAAATTAGCTATATAGACCAAAATCATTTTTGAACCAGGCTGTAAACATGTTTTTTTTCTGCTGTAAAGTTGAGCATTTTAACATGGGGAGTCTATGGGATCGACTCCCTTTTGCAGACAGCCTCTAGCGGCCAGTTGATGAATTACAGTTTAAGTCACTTCCTTGTTGGCTTCACGAGAGAGAGCGGGAGGTTGCCGCTTGGTAGGGATGCACCGGTTGACCGGCCATGACGATTTTTTTTCTTTTCTTTTTTCAGCCGATGTTTCCGGAAGTGCATTTGTGTGCACAGACTACGCTGGAATAATTCACGAACATGTCATTTGAGTGAAGTATTTCGAAATCGGTTTTCTGTCGCCTCTGGCTTGCTTAGTTGGGGACACTTCATTTCCAGCGATATCGTTGACATGATTGCAAAGATACTATTTAAACTGAGCTGGATGTTGACATCACTGAATTCAATGATGAACTGTCTTTAACTGAAAAATTAGTGTTTACTATTGTCATTTTGCATTATTGACACTATTTTCCTAATTAATGCTGTTCAGTTGCTTTGACACAATCTGTATTGTTAAAAGCGCTATATAAATAAAGGTGACTTGACTTGACTTGACTTAATCCTGCTCCTGCTGAATTTCTGACCATTACCACCCGCTCCCGTGCATCAGGGAGCCGCTATCAATATGCGGAGTATTTAAATCTCTTTTGAATTAACGCTGGCTGTTCACTTCTACTTTTGATTTCTCAGTGTAAAGGGAGCACATCTTACGAGATCAGATATTTGTCAATGAGCTCAGGATCTTTTGAGCACCAAATCCTCCAGCATGATCTGGTCAGCCATTTCTCCTCTCATCAGTCAAATCTGACTCCTGCCCACAGCTCGTGTTAGATGCAGGGTTGTCAAGTCCGCATCTTTTTCCATGGAATTGGGCCACTTTTAAACTGTTGCCATGGCTTGATTTTCTCCCGTAGGTTAAAGGTTTGAAATGTTGCTTAAAGGGGTCCTATTATACTTTTTCACTTTTTCAACTTTAGTTAGTCTGTAATGTTACTGTTTGAGCATAAAAAAGATCTGCGAAGTTACAAAGCTCAAAGTTCACTTCAAAAGGAGATATTTTATTTAACAGAAATCAATTTTCAAAAACGAACGACTCGTTTGGACTACAACGCATATTTTCCGGGATTTGTGATATCACAAATACCGACGAATGGGACAAGACCTGGTTGAGCTGCACTAGAGAAGGCAACGAGTGTTATCACTATGTCGGAGACACACTAGCTTTCCCAAGGCAGATGAACTTAGAGTGGTTACAATCATCTGGGCTTAAATCACACTCAAATTGATTTGATTTTGAGCAATATTTACACTGAAGCTCGCAGGCGGTTATGGTAAGGGGCATGACATTTCCCGACCAGGCGCCGAGTGCTGCCAATCACAACACACACTGGCCCAGCTAGTAAAGTAAAGTAAAGTAAAGTAAAAGAAAATAAAATAAATAAAAGGAACAAGCCCTTTAATGTCCTGCCCAAGCTTCAGTCTCAATATTAATCATAGTTCCCCTACAGGATATTTCAGTAAAGCTTTAATACAATCCTGCAAATCACAACAAAACTGTTTGGTTTCTGTAGGTTTGTTTCAATGCATGCACTTATAAATTCATGAAATAATATTTTCTAATTGCTAAAATTCCACTATAGAATATTTTATAGGTAAGGGATAATCAATGGCTAGCCATGCATTAAAGGATTTTAATGCATGACGTGGAGGTAAAGAACCACCCGATGCGAAGCGGAGGTGCATTAAAATCCTTTAATGCATGGCTAGCCGTTGATTATCCCGCTTATTCCATGGTCATTTGCCAAGTTATAGACAAGTTAAAATTTGCATTGCTCTTTGTAGCACAATATTTGGCCAATGGGTAAAAATGACATTTATTTTCGACAGTTACGGTTTGTTAGCGCTAGCATTCTGGCAGCTTCAAATCAGACACAGAGATGAAATAGTGCGGAAAGACCACATTTATTTGAATGAATTATAGTATGTATTTCAATTAATTATCAATCGATCGAGAGAGAGAGAGAGAGAGCGAGAGAGATGACTGCTGTGTGTAGCTGCATCTGCGCATCTCTCTCTACAAACAA